GTGGGTCTGCAAAGTTAAGGACAGATTTCTGGACATGAACAAAATTTTAAATGCGTATAGTTTTAGCCATTAACTTGCTTCTAAGCAACTCACCAAAAAGAAGCACTGTCAACTGGTAGCTGCTGTTGACTTTTACTACTATTAAGGCCATATTTCCAAGTCCCTCCGTTTGCAATATCATGTGAATAAGAAACGGATTTTAATTTCATTTTTATGCGTTTTTTGCAGCTATGCAATGCAGAAAACGCACATTGACGAGGGGTTGTCTGTGGGTCTGTGTGTCTGTGTGCCCGTGTGCGTCCGTCAAAGTTTTTCATCTCAAGACCTACAAAAGCTACAGAGCTGAAACTTTGGGAACTTAATCTACATGTACGTACGGGTCCCAATCCCCAAAATTGGAGCCATTACCAGCGTGGCACCCGCGTACGGGCCCGCCAAAGTTTTTTCGGGCAAGTTCATAACTCGGGGATTTGAGAAGCTAGAGGACTGTAATTTTAAGAGGATATACCCGTCCATCTACGTTTCATTCAGCTCAAACCCAACTCTCGGGTATGCGTGGTAAACATGCACGGCCCCGTGAAAATTTTTTTCCAGTAAGTTGCTAATCCAGGAATCAGGGAAGCAAGAAAGCTGAAATTTTAAGGGGGTGTTTTCTGACAGTTTTGGCGGCCAGTCTTAATTTGTTTAGCTAGAAGCACTTGCCGAAAAAGCCGGTGCCGGTAGCAACAAAAACTGCGGGGGACTATGCAAAAAACGCATCTTCGCACAGGCAGCCCGTGCGTCGGCCAATTATGTTTTAAACGAAAATCCCAACCAAAGTGTGGAGCGAGTCACAAGTGTCATAGTCACAAGTATCGAACCAATCATGTCAGGATTAGGAGTAAAATTAATCTATAATAATGCAATGCAAAATCAAACTTTCACCTTCGGGCCTTAAAACATATGCATATTCAGCAATCAGTGTTGGTGTGACGATACGCCATTTGTGCTTGGCCTTTTTGAAATGCGGATCAGGAAAGAGGAAAAACATCTTTGTAAGCTGATGTCGATGAAAATAGTTCGGCAAATATTTCATAGCGTTTGTTCTCAAGCATGCTACGTTGCAATACTTCCCTGACTCTTTTGCGCGCAACGCACGAATTCTATCCTTGACATAGTCGCTAACCTAAAAATATAACCAACATAAATAGCAACGCGCATCAGACTAGCCGGTGCGATCATGCGTTTTGTGCAATTCAGCCCATCGAA